AAAAACTTTTATTAGTGAAAGCAGTCCTGTGTGGCAATTGCTGTGAACACAAATTATGAAGTTTCTTTCTTACAATGAAAGCAAATTCTGCCACTGTTCGTAACGTTTGTACAAAAACTGATTAAAATGTCTTTTTTGTTGTTTTGTTTTTTTTTCTTAAATGATCAAGTAATAAAACTGGTTTTATGTGTAAGGTATTTTTGTGTTGCTTGTATTTAAGAATTAGTAACTATTTAAAGTTCAATTCATTATTAAAAACTTTTTTTATCATTTTAAAAGTCTTTTTAACATTGTAAAAATCTCCTGATTTCTTAAAAAAATCTCCTGATTTTTGAGTGTCATAGGTTGGCAAGTATGTTATTTATTAGTCCACTGTTCCAGAAGATACCATGGTAGGGTACCTTCTGGGATAATGGAAGAAATTGCAAAAGACCATTAAAGAAAGGGAAGTGTGAATAATGATGCATCCATTGGGCTGCTAAAGAGAACAAATTTAGTAATAACAGTTTGATTTATTTAAAAAGAATTTAAAAAAATTATTTTTGCAATAAATTTCAAAGTAATTAAATTTTCTCCCCTGTTTAAGGGGGGATCAAAATGTGGTAGAATTTTTTCTTTACGGATGAATTGATTTTCATTGAATTATTTGCTCTCAAACTTGTGTACCCAATAAGAAAATGATCCTTACAATTTAATATTAAAATATTGATTATTTTAATCCACATGTTTAATGTTATTTAAAATTTGTACAGAGTCTGTTTGTTCGCACATTTTTTAGACGATTTTGGTAAGCGGTAATAAAAAATCCTTTGCTGCAAAAGAAGTAATTGCAATTGTATTATGCTTTTAAAAGTCAAAATTATCGTCTGTGGCTTGAAAGTTTTGTTTTTATTCAAAATGGTGAATTTAACAAAGCAGTGGTTCGAAAGTTACATTTACGCTCTTTCCGAAGAGAAATATGCATACTCCGTTATCCAAAAACGATGTGATAGTCATGGTTTTGTGATATCTAAAGTGTTGATAGGTAATATTATCAACAAGAAAGGAAAAAAAAAAACGTCAAATTGGAGCCTCAAGTGGGACAAAAATTCCAAACAAGTATCCAAGGAAAAAACGGACATCTTCGTCTATTGCAAAGGTACGTTGTTTAATGTTAAAAGAAAATCCCCTAGTCAAAGGACAGTTGCAAAATCATTAAAATGCTTGGTGTCCACTGTAAAAAAAATGATAAACGTTGATTTAACTCTTAAGAAAGCGAAAAACGCAATGTGCATCGTCTTCTTCTAAAGCATATCGCTCAACACAGGACACACTGCAGAATTCTATATGAGAAACACTTAATCCAAAGAGAAATCGAAAACAATTGTCACAATAGATGAAGCATGGGTGTATTTAAATGATTGTAACAAAAAAAAAAAAAAAAAAAGAGCCATTTATTATCATAAAGGGGAGAAAAAATTTAAGTACATGGTTCAAAGAATCGAAAGAAAGTTTTTCTAAGGGATTCATGATTGTTGCTGGTTTTTCTTATAATGGCAAGTTAAAAATAAAGAGTGCAAAAAAATGTCCAGATTAACTCCAAATACTATCAGGAACATATTTTATCCCCAATTTTTCTGAATGAATTACCATCGCTTTACCCACAGTGACATCAATCTGTGAGACTCCATCAGGACAAATCTAGCAGTCACATATCAAAATCCACTGTAAATTTCCTAAAAGAAATGGAACAAAAAACTGGTATCAAGGCCATACCCTTCACTGATATCTCTACTAAATCTCCTGATGTGTCACCTATGGATTTTTGTGCTTTCGGACGTTGTTCCAAAACCCTAACAGGACGCTGAAAAGCTGTTTGGGAGGAATGGGATAGAATACCTCTTCTGCCACTTCAAAAGGCATTATTATCCTGGAAATTGCGGTGTAGAAAGATAGTTCAGAATAAGGGATGTCAAATAGAACATTTAAAACACAAGAATTTTATGTAATTTAGTTTTGTGAATACAATATACATCATCTAAAAATTGTGTGAACAGCCTCTGTATAATTGAGGTGTCCAACCCCGTTAATGAATTATGCGTTTTAAAGAGCAATTTAACTGTTTTATTTTGCTTAAATTATAAAAAAAGTTTATTAATAAAAATATTTGGTTTTGTTTAATTGTTTACTGTGTAAGTTCAGAAACATGGTTATCCTATTACATTATCTTATGGGACCACTTTCACAAAGAGATAATTATCATTGCTGTAAAATTTACTGCAAATTTTAGCTTGCTGTTTAGTTTAAAGTTTTATTTCAATTTATTACTGTTATTTAATTTTAAAAAATTTTTAGTGTGTGTGTCTGTCCATGCATGTGCTCATCATCATTTAAATCTGTGCGCCAAGAAGTAATTTTCAGTTCATAACAAAACTTGGCATGAAGGTATGTATCAGGCAGATATGCAGGTGATTAGAAATATAGGTACAGGTCCAAATCAAAGTAGGACACCAGAAATTCTCCATTGGTCATGCAAGTGTAGTCCTGCCACACCCTAATTATGAAGTTCCAGCCCAGTTTTGAGGGAGAACACCCCAGGTGGTGGTCTGAGGATCTATATCCCCTCCTTGCTTACTACCAATCTTTCAAGAAAACTTCCAGCTCAGCCAGTGCTCCATTGTCACACAGGCATCATATGCTTACAAGCATCCATGCCTTCTCCAGGATTCAAACTTGGGCCCGCTGGAATGGAAGTTAGCATCGCTAACCACTGTACTAGATGGGAAGCTGATTGAAAATGTGACATGACTGTGCATTGCATAATGCCTTCAGAGGGCAGTGAACTCTGTTCTGCCTAGTGCATAAAAAAGTTATGCAGAGGCATTTTGCTGCACTTATGCAGAGGACACATTTTACTAGAGATGCACGTACATGGCCATCAAAGACAATGTGATCAGCGATCACAGATGAAGCAAAGCAGAAAACTGGACCTGTATACATCAGTGCCCACCTATATTGTATCATGTATTGATGCCAGAGGAAGCCAAATTGGGTAGTAGAACCTCCATTCATAGTTTTTCCTCTAATAAATTATCATTTGCTTTGATTTTGTAATCACTAATATCAATACTGTAGTGAACATATATAAAATTTTGTTTGATTCTGACAACTCTTTCTTGAAGGCAAATTTTTATAGCAATGAGCCTTTTTATATACACATATACTAACAAAGTTAGAACCAAAAAAGATATTTCAAGCATACAAATAAGACTAGCTTAATTACATAAAAATTGAAGGTATTTAAAATAGTGATATAACAGTGCTACATGTGAGTGAAAGTTAGATATAATAATATAAATCAATATAGGTTCCATAATTAGTTTTTCTATTTTAGTGGAAATCTAGCTTTTCCAATCTAGCTTTTCCAATTTTTTCCACTATGGAAGAAACTTGCCCGTCATGATCATAATGTAGATTATTCTTCTTTCATGTGTTTTTATCTGTCCTCAGATTAAATGCAGTTTTGAGTTAATTGTGTATGTCACCTCCAGTATTATCTTGATTAATTGGTAGTTGACTGTATTATACATATTTTTTAATATTTATTTTTGTATTGTAATTAAATTAACAACTTTTTCTTTTCAAGATAAAACATTAATTTTGGTATATATTTAACAATGAAATTTGTCAACAGTTATAAGGTATCTTCTCCTCCCTTTTTGCATGCCTTTGTGATGTAATTAGAAGCATACTCAATGTGTATCGAGAGTTCCAGAGTCCCAGGGAGGGCACAGCACATTTTTCATGTCCCTGCTTCAAAATAAAATAATGCCTCTACAAGTGGTGCCCAGACTAAAATGTGGTAGATGATAATTCATTGCCACCAGGATCTGACGACTGGGTTCCCTAATCTGCAGTCTCGCTTTCAATGGAGAAATATGTAAGATATTTTCTCATCCCTTTCTGTATGCCTTCGTGGTATAATTGGAAGCATACTGCACATCTATTGAGAGGTTCAATGTTCGAGTCCCGGTGAGGGCCACTGCACTCCTGCTTCAAAATAACCTTATGGCTCTACAAAATGTTAGTTTTGATACTGGAAAACATAAGAGAAAAGTTTGCCTCATTACAAATTATATAAGAATGTTTATGAAATTTTAGAATAGAGGAGGAAAATAATCTTTTTTGAGGCACATTCTGGTTATTTTCTAGTATAGAAAACTCTTTTCTAATATTAAAAATCATTCTTCACTCCATCTGTGTAATTTTAGTGCCAAATAACATGCAACTTTTTAAGAAATTTTTGGGGATTTTGAAAGCTAGAAAAACTTTCTCACCCAAAGAAAAAATTTTGATTTTTGAAATAAAGTTTTCAAATATTAAAAAAAATATGTTATTCACTTCTAAATGGACAATTACAACTGCTCTTAGGTGGTACACCCTAAAATAATGTTTGGTATTTAGCGTGGTATAGGAGAGATTAAATAAATATTTCTTTAGCATATAACTTTCAGGCTAGGTTTGCTGCAACTTAAGTTCATATTCATATTTTAATGCTGCTATTATGTAAACCATTTTGAAAAAACAGTTTTGATTAAAGTATGAACATAAATTTTTTTCAGTTTTTAGGTTTTGATAATTTAATGACATAAAAAATCAGTTTTTATACATTATTACTATCAGAAAAAGAGAAATTATAGTTTTATCTTTAAAAAAAAATTAACGCATTCTTGTTCTTGTTAGTACTTGTCTCATGTGCACTATGAAAAATATTAAATGACCATAACTATCTAAAAATATTTTATAGAATTTCCTTTTTGAAACTAATACAAGACATTATGTGCTTTAACTGAGAAATGAAACTGATGATAATAAAGAATTGTGATTTATCAATGTTGCTGAGTTTTTTCTATTATATCAAAAGTTACATTTTGTGAACTTTGTTTTTATAAACAGAATTTTGAATTGATCTTTTATTTTTAAAATCATTTCTTTGCTGTAAAACAGATTATTTAATGCAGGTTTGTTGGTCAGCTCCTACGTTTATTGGTATGCCACAATGAAAAATTTGGTACTCAGATTCAGAAACATGTTAAGGAATTAGTAGCCCACGAAATGAGTCCTACACTTTATCCAATTTTATTTGACCAAATAAAAGCTATTGTGGAAAAATTCTTTGATTCTCAAGGACAAGTAAGTTTTGTATATCGTTTATTCATCTTTCATAATCAAGTGAAATAATTGTCAGACTTAAAAGTATATATATATATATATATATATATATTAATACTCTTCTTTTCATTAGTGATTTTTGCAGTTTCTTATTGAAGATATGTTTCTAATCCTAAATTTTTTAAAAGAGTTTATCAAAATTTCTAATTTGCCTTCAATAATTATATTTTTTATTTAAAGAACGACTCTTATACAGTAAAAAATTAATTGCTAAATATTTAAGGTACTTTGTTTTTGAGATTCTTCTTGCCATCCCTTACCATTTTTGCATTTTTTTTAAGTATAAAACTAGTTTTTGTACACCCATGTTGTTGGAATGTGTTGTGTGCAAGGATAACTCTTTCTGAACTGTTTCACTTTTTTGTTGGTTTGAAATGCTTGCTGATGAGAGGAAACTTCTTAAATACAGGAGAGAAGGAAAAAAAAAAAGTAGTTTGTTTGCTTTAGGTCTAGGTTGTGTGAAGGGTAGCCCATATGCTACAAGCCAAAAGAATCAACTAGAGCTAGTATTTGAGTATAAGTATGAGGCCATGCATTGTTGTGAAGACTCAGAACTCCAACTGATACCATGTTTAGACTTGCCAATTCTCCTGATTTCTGACCATACTCCCGCCAACCCAATTTGTAGCTTATTTTCCCAGACTTTCTCTCATACTTAAAATTTCTCACGGCTTTTATGTAGCTACTTTGTTATTTGCCCCCCCCCCCCCAAAAAAGTGATTTTTGGCATGTGAAAGCGCTTGTTTGTTCTAGATGCATATTAAAAAGAAACAAAAAAAAAAAAATTTTTTTTTCACCCCTGAGATATGGTGCACTTCTGCTTTGTGCATGAGAGTCTGAAACATGTGTCCAAAAATGTCATGTTCCAGTTCTCCAATGAGAATCAAGAGCTGCTGCAGGTCATCTGGCATACATTAGCTAATGAGAACAAAACAAGATCGAGGGTGTTTATTTTGTTCGTCTTGCATAAGTTTCATGTGCTTCCCAGAAACAGTTTAAGAAGCTGCAATCGTTTGCCTTGGTTATATCTGTAAAAAACATAAAATATTTATGTACTTTTTCAGAAATTGTATACAGAATAATGTAATATGGAAATGTGTATTGTTTGTCATTGCAATTTTTTGATTTTGTATGGTGGAAGGGCCAATGTTCTTAAACATGGGCATGCGCAAGGACAGCATGCAATTTACTGGGGGGGGGGAAATTGTTCAAACAAAGGACCAAAAAGTTATTAATGCAGATTCTGTATTCTCTGCCTTTTTATTGGAGCATAACATACTACTGAAGGCATTGGATCATGCTGAAGATTTTTTAATAGAATGTTTTCCCGGCAGTAAAATTTCTAAGAAATACTCAGCTGCATGGGCAAAAACGTCTGTAATTTTTCAAGAAATTGGAATGAAATATAAATCTTTAGTTGTTGATTGCATTAAAAGCTCCATTCTGCCTCCTTACAAATGGAAGCAATTATACCGATGCAAAACTGTATCCAAATGTTGTTTCTTTTTTTTAATCCAGATTCTTCAAAAATTGAGTGTAGTTTACTTTCTGTTCCCACTTTAGAAGAGATTCAACAGATATGTAGCACAGTTAATTATTGAAATTTTAAAAGAAAGTTTTTCAATTCAGTCAATTCTTCATGATAATTGCTTAGCACTTAGTGCTGTACCAGGAATGCAACAGGAATTGTAGGCTTGAAGATTGATGTTGCAAGCACCTTAAAAAAAAGAAAATCGAATTTTAAGTGTGGTTGAACACATTGTTGATATTTATTATTGTCTGAAAGATTGCTAAAAGGAAGGAAAAATTGAAACAATTGCATAATACTGAAATAAGGTAAAATATGAAATATGTATGCACACACTGGTTATCGTTAGAGAATGTTCAACTAGAATCCTCGACCAGTGGAAACCACTTTTTATGTTTTTTAAGGAAGAAGTAAATGCTTTTAGAATTAAGATAAAAGGCTGTGTTGAAAGTTATAAAATACCTTAAGTAAATGGAAATGCAGCTATTACTTCCATTGTTTAAAAAAAGGTGTCAGAAAAATTGAGTGATTTCTGCATCTGTGAGAAATTTAATTGGCTATTCTCAAAGTAATACTACAAAATGTAAGTGTAAAGCTCTTCTCCCCACCCTCCAAAGAAAAAAAAAAAAAAAAAAAAAACTCTTGACAAGGAACACATTTTCTGATTAGTGTAAGTTTTTTTGTGAAAAAGGAATATTTATGTTTTCATCTTTGGGCTTTAATAAAGCTTTTTGCTTTTTTTGTGTGCTCCATTTTGCCATCATTCGATGTTATTAACACTATTCCATAGTGCAGAATTACATTAGTTCATGTTTTGCAATCAGTGATTAGTGATCTGGTTAAAGTACTATTTAATGATTAAGGAAACTGGTTATTTTTCTATTATTAGAAGGTACAAGTAATAAAATAGTTTTTTTAACGTGTAAGTATTATTTGCATTTAAGAACTAATAATTGAACTTTCAGATATGGATTAGTTACTATTTAAAGTTTATTATTAAAAATATATTTTCTTTCTATATATTTTTATTATTTAAAAAATCTTTTTGTCGTTGAGGAAATTCTCCTGATTTTTTAGTATAGTAGGTTGACAAGTATGCATGCTATAGCATGTATTCTTGATTTCCCTGCAAAGTTTCTTCTGAATTTCATAATATGCAGTAACATCTATCTTTAAACATAACCCTGAAAATTTATATTATCTGTTAAAATTTCACTATCAGAAATTATTTGTGTTGCCACTCCACTGCTTAAATTCAACGGTCAAAGGAGACATCTATGTCTTATTCCATGTGATAATGTGACTGAACACTTCCTCATCTCCCTCTCTGTAGTTCTAACCTGTACCTAATCTCTGTGTTTTGTATCCTTTGGAACCATCCTTGAAACCCACTGACTGCATGACTATCTGTACTGTAAAATTTTTGACACAGTTTGTAATAAAATGTGTAATTTGTATCATAAAACTTGGAAGAAATTCATTGTTAATGTGGAATTAGTGAAACATCTCTTTTTGCTAATAATTGTTTCTACTGAATACTTAAATTTGTTTCCAGTTACAGAAGGCTGATCTAAGTATGATAAATGTGCTTCTTATCTTTTGTAAACAGTCGTACCCATTTAAAAATTTTACCATCACTCATGCACTTCAAAGTTCTGATACTCGTAGTTAAACTTTGGCAATGTCACTTTTTTTCTTTTGGTGATCAGAGAGTGATTAATTAGACTTAAGGGCGTTATGTATCCAAAGGATGCTGGAATATAATACATGTGCAGAATTACGAATATGTTCACTGGTAATTTCTTGAAAATTATTTAACCCTTTGACGTGCACGATATTATTTTTATAATGTCTTTCTGTAACTAAAAACTTTAGAAATTGAATATTATGATCCTAGAGACAAATAATATATGAATTAAAAAAATCTCATGTCCATTGTTCTGTGGGTGGTGGTGACACTGTGAAACTACCGCGTGTTTAGGACTTTGAAATTTACTGAGGTAGTATGGGGGGAAAATTACCTTTTTCCATGCGCATTTCCATTAAATGACAAAATTTATGAATTAAAAGAAAAATTTATGTAAGGATTTCATTATATATAATTTTTTTACATTATTTTACAAAGTCAGAAAAAAATTAAAAAATAAACATTTATGTAATTTTTCTATAGCAGTGAAACTATTATAAGTACCTACATAATAAGGGCATTCAGATAAATGGATTAAAAACTCAGCAAAATAGGATTGAAAAAACTCAATGGTTTATTATTATTATTATTAATTATTATATTATTTCAAAGAAAATTTTTTTTGTGACACTGTTGAAAGCATGTTTTGTCTTTTTGGTACATGTATAGACCCACTTTGCATGTTTCACACATGTATCTTATTCTATGAGGTTTCTTCCTTGTGCTACAAAATGTACACTGCCTGGAGCTAAATTTCACTGGTATATGTCCAGTGTTATTTAGTTTCTTTCCATCTGGCACAAGAAATTTGTGGGTTTTTTATATGTTAATGGGGGGGGCGCTTAATCTTTTTGGCTTTGGTACGTATCATTTGTTTCCCATTCATACTTATTTTATTCATATTTCATCCCAAAATATTCAGAAAATATTTTAAATTTAAATAAAACTTTACACAATTTCCGTTTTTGATTGTAGCAAAGTAAATTTACATTAAATTTAAACCACACGAAATAATTATAAAATCACAATACTAGCTTGGGGAGCAAGTGCGTTGAGGTCAGAGAAGAGTCTCTGGAAAAGAAAGACCTTTTTATTGGGCAGGTGCATGTATTGTTTAGTAGTAAAATAATTCTGTGGTTTCAAAGCTCTTGGAAAGAAGAGGAGAAAAAAATTTGAAAATTAGTGGTTTCAGAGCACGACCACCGCACGTCAAAGGGTTAACATATGTTTAAATACGTTTATATACACTCAGCTCATGCACAAATAAAATATGTATATATAAACACCCACATCTATCTGCCTGTCCTTGAATCGATCTATATATATATGTGTGTTTTTCTGCGCACGTGTTATAATAGCCCGTTATTATGAAAAATGAAATTTTTAATAATATATTTCTTCTTTTTTCCATTTCAACTTGCTTTTGGCCAGTTTAGCATTTGCATTGTTACCCCATTTTGTTTAGTTTGTCACTTTTAGAAACAGCAATTTCTTAAACACAATGCCATTTTGAATGAGTTGCCTCCTTCCTCGACTCCTCACCTCCCTAGCAGTTTTGTCCCCTCATGCCAGACAATACCGTTGGCTTCTACAACAATACGTTAACTTGCTTCTGTTTCATACTGTCCTCCAGTAGGTGGAATTTGACTGCTTTTTAATTCTGGTAACACTCATTAGGTCTTCATCACTTTCTGGCAACCTTTTTTCCATGTTTTTAACTCAGTTTAATTTTAGAAAGAACTTGAG